GGCCCGGCCCTGGGTCTCCTCCTCGGGGCCGGCCTGGCACAGCGCAGCGCTTCGCCCGGCGGTACCGCGGCTCGGGCGCTCCAGGGGCAGGGAACGCCGACAGCGCGGCACCTCCAGCAGTCTGGAAGAGCAGGCGGCTCAGTCTGACCCGGAAGCGGATGACCGTGGACAGGAAGTGACGCCTCAAGGAGCCTCGCGGGGCGGGGCGGGGCGGGCTTCTGTGGTGTGGGACTCGGCGTTCTCCTCCCGGTTTGCAGGACTCTCCGTAGGTGGAACCCGGTTGTCCTGAGTTTCTCGGGCGGCTGCCCAGCGGGAAATCATCTATGAAGTCGTGAACGCTCCGCAGCGGGCGAGCGAAGGAATCTAGTGAGAAAGCACGCGCGAGCGAGCCCCTCGGTGTTCTCGGTGGGCCTGACATCAGTTTCCCACGTCCCGTACTCACACTTTTCGTCCTCCAGAGGCGAAGCAACGCCTCCATGTTTTACTTTTGAGAATTCGCCTCTTGGACAAGAGTTTTGGAAAACTGACTTACTAAAACCGTTTCAGGGAACGGTTTTAATGGGTTGCCGCCAAGATACTGCAATCACGTAACTTCTAAATGAAAATATTGTTTATAAGAAGGGTTATGCTATGTAAAGATTAACTTCTAGAAAATTCTTACTGAAATAAATTAATGTCTGTAACTCGACTGTGACAGAAGACTAAGTTTCTTTATATCCCCGTGGTTCTGTACCCAAATCAGATACATCGTAGTACCCAAATCAGGTCAGAATCAAGGAGAAACACTGAGAAACGGAACTTGTAATGAGTCCCAAATACATAATCTGCCCTGGAATTCACATTTTGTGAGCCAGGACATTTCAGTGTTTAAATTTTGTTGACAAAGTAATGTTCAAGTCTGTAAACTTTAACTCTATTACAAACAATGCATAAAGCGTTGTTTCTATATGAAAATTACAAAAGCTAAACTCTATAAACAACTATCTACAGAAAGTAGAAAACTGAAAAGTAGTTTTTTAAAATGCATTTATTATGGGGGGGGCACTTGTGTGGCAAAGCTGAGGTGTGGAGTTCAGAGAACAATGTTCGGTGGTTCGTTTGCTTCTTCCGTGGTGTAGCTCTTGAGGGTCGAACTCAGGTGTTCAGCCTTGGCCACAATTACTTTTATTATCTGAGCCATCTATCTGGCCCAAAAGGGATATTTTAAGTACACAGAATCTGAAGAGTTAAGCTAGGCAGGTACCAGAGTCTCGTGACTGAGGTATGAGGATTGCCGGTTCAAAGTCAATCTGAGGAGCCCAGTGAGACTCTCGAAACAAAAAAATCAGGTTGGAACTGCGGCTCTAGGACAGGCCACTTCTTCGCATCTGTGACATGCTAGTTTCAGTCTGTACTGCTGAGAACAAAGTCTAGCTGTCATAAATTCTACAAGTTGAATGATGCAGATTCTGTAACAGAAGTGTGCAGAAAGCAAGTGTTAAGGTTTTTGTTTTGATTGAGGTGATGGTTGGTGTATGTACTTGTTAAAGTTTATTGATGTGTATATTTATAAATATCCTATTTATATGAAAATTATAAAACAACCAAATATAACAATCAGTGGCACATAAAAGCTATTAGAAAGAGACAAGTTTATTGCTTCAATAAGTTTGCTTTAAAGGCTGCGTCAATCTTTCCTCAGAAAACAGAAGAAAGGGAATAAACTTCAAGACATATAACTAAGAGGACAGAGTTCAAAGAATATCCTTCTAGAAGGTATAGTCAGAGGATGAAGAACACCACAAGCCTCTTCTGCAATATGCCAGCATCGCTACCAGGACCAGCATCTCCCATTCTTTTCTAAATAGGATTAATAAAAATTGTTTCCTATTGTTTGTCCGTCATTGTGTACTGGGTCAGAATGCAGAGCAGGTAATATAGCCCTTGGACTATATGGAATGACATAAGACACACCTGAACATTCTAAACATTGAGCTGAGTGTAGTGGTCATCCATAGAGACCTGCTTGTATCCACAGGATTCTCTGGGGAAAAAAAGAGATGAAGATGTTGGATTTTATGTGTGGTATTCATTGAACCAATCTGTTATTAAGTAACATTTAATGACTATTTAGGCCAGACTAGAGAAGATAGACAGTAGACAAAAGGCATATGCAGTAGCATACACATAGTGAGACTATTGCCCAGACTAAACAAAACAGGTAAACAAAGTTTCTGCATTCATGGAGCTGACAGTCTGGGAGGAGAAATATATGAAGCATTTGTGCCCATCCACTTCATCATTGCCTTTACTGGGCAGTGCCTACTGCCAACACTATACCTCCATTGTCAAAGTCAGCTCTCATCTCAGTCACTCATGGGGAGGGGCATTGTGTCTGCTCATGAACAATACAGAAATCTCTAGTAATGTGATAGTTGATGATTTTCACCGAAAGTGTAATGCGAATCTATGACAGTACTGCAGTTCTTTGTTGTGTGGTCTAATTTTTGTTTACTTGTAAGTAACAAGGAGGAAAAGAAAGGAAGTAGTATTAAAACAGGAACGTGTTCCGGTCTAGATCCAAAGACAAGCATCAGCTTTAGGAAAAGTCACAATGCTTTCATTTTCTTTTCTATTGTACAACAGGATATTTAAAAAATCTTCAAAATATATAATAACTATCTTTTAGGACAGTGGCATAATATGTATTCTAATCAGGAAAGCACACAAAGTCCGAGACAGATCTGTCATTCATGTGACATTTTGGTGATTTGCCTATTTCTAAGATTTAGGGCATTGTATAATAAAGAAATGAAAAAAGAGCTTTTAAAACAGTTATATCTAATTAAGAAAACCAGAAATAGTGCCAGAGATGTGCTCACTTATATATTTGGTATAGTTTTTTTTTTTTCCTGACACCTTTAAAAATAGGACTTATTCTCACATCAAGAAAGCAAGCACTGCAGGCCTGAGAGACTTAGGGGAGGCCACATTTGATTGTGGTAGTTGATCCATACAAATACTTTATATTCCAGAAGTTACTGTTGTTTTCCAACACTAAGTCAAAATTTTATGACATTTTTCTATTCACATAAACCCAGAGAAAATTAACCATAAGAGAATAATAGAGAATGAGATGTCAAATCAGGATTGTGTGCTCTGGCATTTTGAGAAGCACACAAGAACGAATGTTGAAGAGCAATGCAGAGATGCAAACTAGGTAACAAAGTAGCAGATCTACTTGCTCTGCTCATTCTGTGGCAGTGTGCTGGACCACATCAGCTGGAGTGGCCTTGGGACTTTGTGGGACCCAGATTAACACAGTCACCTCTGGAACACTGTCATCATCACAGTGACTACTATGAATGCTGAAGGTAAAGATTCTTTCCTGAATTGACACACCGTTTCCAGTCAAGTCATAAAGCTACACCTGAGGCCACTAATGAAGAAATATATTATATATACCCAGGCAGAGATAGGTAAAACGCAGCCCTATTGTAATGATATTCTACTGAATTTTACTCCAGATGCTAAGAAAAATGGGTTCATAGAGCAGTTCTAAAGGGGCAGTAAGGAAAAGCTCATGAGTGGTGGTATGTGACTTCCTAGTGACACACATACACACACACACACACACACATACACACACACCTCTTCACCCCAGACAGGGCACTAGGGCACCAATTAATGTGGGACTTCCCTCTGTATGCTGTGAATATGTTTTATTACAATTGGCTAATAAGAAAGTTGTTTTGGCCAGTGGCTTAACAAAGTAAAGCGAAGTGGAAAATTCGAACAGAAATATAGAGAGAGTAGGTAGAGTCAGGGAGACACCATGTAGCTGCCAAAGGAGAAAGATGCCCAGACACTTACCTGGTAAGCCACAGCCTCATGGCGATACACAGATTAATAGAAATGGGTTAATTTAAGATATACTAGCTAGACATACACTTGAGCCATTAGCCAAACAGTGTTGTATTAATATAGTTTCTCTGTGATTATTTGGGTCTGGGCAGCCAGAAAACAAACGAGCAGTCTCCACTTCTAACCAGCGACGGATCAAAGACACAATTCCACCTAGGCCAAGCTTAATGAGTCAAAGGGTTTATCGGAGTCACTTACAGAATATGGGTGACTAAAAGGCCCCTGACCCTCACTTTTATTCTTTATTTTTTCGAGACATGTTACTTTTGTGTAGCCCTGACTGTCCTGGAACATTCTCTGTAGACTAGGCTAGCCTTAAACTTACAGAGTTCCATCTGCCTCTGCCTCCTGAGTGCTGGAATTAAAGGCATGCACCACCATTGCCCAGCAAAAACATAAATTTTTATTTCATTTAAAAACACTTTTACATTAATTTATTTGTGTACCATGGTATGTGTGTGGAGGTCAGAGGGAAGCTTGAGGGAGTTGTTTCTCTTCAACTTTCCTACCATGTGGGTTCTGGGGATGGAACTCAGGTTTTTAGTCTTGGTGGCAAGCACCTTTATCTGCTATCTCATTGTCCCAGGAACAATTTAATGCCATTTTTAAAGTCCCTGTAAACATTGGAAAATAAAACTCAGAAAAAAACTAAATATAAGAATAAAGAATGTTAAGAATTGTATACTTGGGCTGGAGAACCATCTCAGCAGTTTAAGAATACAGTCTGCTTTTCCAGAGGTCCTAAGTTCAATTCCCAGTAACCATATGGTGGATCACAGCCATGTATAATGGGATCTGATGCCCTTTTCTGGTATGCATACTTGCAATCAAAGCACTCATCAATCAATCAATCAATCAATCAGTTAATTAATTAATTTTTAAAAAGAAAACTTAAAAAAGATTTGCATATTTTTTCAACTACTCAAATTGTAGCTCCTCAGACTCTAGATTTGAGATCTTGGTTAAAAGTCAGGTTTCACACATCAGTTAATCAGGGACTCAGCACATTCAACCTGAAACAAGACAAGCAGAGCCAGATTGCTGACAAAACCACAAACACATGGCAGTAGATTCGGTGAACATATTTCCAAGTGTTATAAATCTCAGATTTCCAATTTGTTAGGTATTTCAGTAATGAAAGATGCCAAGTTGATTCCCGAGAAGTGAGTATTGAAATACAGCCTCTTTTTCTTTAAATTTATTCTTAGCTACTGAATGAGTAAGTAGCTAAGAATATTGACATGGACAATATTTTGATGTTCTATTTTCATAGCAATATGGTATGATGTCAGAAAGTTATTTTATCACGGAATTTCTCCCCAAAAAGATGCTAGGCTATGAGACAGAACGTTCTAATTTAATTTCATGTTATTTGATGATAATTATGCATAAATCAAAATGGAACCGGAAATAAAGACTCAAAATGACCACTTTGTGAACATTTTTGTTAATATTTGCTACGGTGTAATGAAACTTTAGCATTTTACATAAATGAGTAGGTATTTTAAAAGTGGCATTAAAACTTAAAGCAAGACTGTTTTCTTCAAATGAACTGCTAAAACTTGCACACAGTTAAAAGTAAGTAGTCTTGAGGCCTCTCAAATTATATTTAGCAGTAGCGTAGAGGGAAAATTATGTATTAGTATATTTTGAAATTTTCTGCCTTAACCCAATATATGTTGTTATTTTTGTAAGTGAAGGCATAGAAACCAGAGTACAACTATTAGGGGGTCAATTGTCTACTTCCGCCGTGCATTCCAGGTACCAAACTTGGATCACCAGTTTGCTCAGCACTGTATAGCAAATCCGAAATACTCTCATGCACCCAGCCGTCTTACTAACCCAACACAGTATTTTTGCAAGCATACTTCATTATCCTGAAAAGCACAATTAAAAGCAAATCTTTATTCAGAAAGGCATTATGCAGTAAGTTGGTGTATGTACAATAGAATTCCTTAAGTCAGCATTGTGGAACTCTATACCAAGTCACTAGAACCTGTTAACTCACATGAGTTAGTGAAGTGGCTTTGGGCAATAGGCACAATGCTGGCTGGCCACTCTGGCTGAACTTAAGTGGCAGCAGTTTGGATACCCAAGAAGCAAGCAGCTAAAAGTTGAATAGTTTAAGAAACTTCTGACTCCCAGTGACTATCAGAGTCTTCTGGGGGCCAGGCTCTTGGTCTTCAGAGCCACCATCTGAAACATTAGCTGTTCCTGTGGTTAAAAAGCATAGGGTTTCTTTCGTTTCCTCCGCAAAGACCTTTTCTCTATAATCAGAAAGACATCAGAAGGTGTAGCAGTATTAGGATGTCTCACATATACTATAGCTGCCCCTCATTTTATAAACGAAGTGTGATTACCTGCCCACTTGTAGATAGACATGACTACTTGATATCCCTAATCAATAAAACATGGGTAGGAGGTATATAGATAGATCCCCAAGTGGCAGGGTCAGTAGCTTCTTTTTGTTATTTTGTTTCTGATTTTGGTGGGATTTTTGTTTGTTTGGGTTTTTTGTTTTTTTTGGTTTTTGTTTTTTGGGTTTTTTTTTTGGCTTCTTGAGACAGGGTTTCTCTGTAGCTTTGGAGCTAACTTTTACATCTTGATTTAACCCATTTCTATTAATCTGTGTTCACCACAAGGTCATAGCTTACTGGGAAAGATTTAGCATGTCTGACCTGGCGACTCCATGGCAGCTTTCTCTCTCTGTTTTCTTCGTCCCAGCATTAAGTTCTGTCTTCTCCACCTCTCCAAGTTCTGTCCTATCACCAGGCCCAAAGCAGTTTCTTTATTAACCAATGAAAGCAACATAAATACAGAATGACCTCCTACACTATTTCTCTCAGACTATTGTTTTATTGGTTTTAGAAGAGGTTTAGAATAATCTTTGCCATATTTCTTGTAATGGTTGCCATAAAAGTTATGTACAATTAATTGTTTTACTTGGTTTATAAAATACAACGATAC